ATTGCGACTTGTTTTTTTTGAGCTGTTTGACACAAAACAGGACTCTCCACAGCATCCAAAAGAAACCGCTCTAAAGCCGCTAACATAATGCGAACGTTACATACAGCTGCCTTGCTGATAACGTGTAGCTATATTTACAATCTGCATCATTCCCCAGCTCACTGGACCCATTCAGTGATCCGTCTGTAGCATTCATATTCGTCCCTGTTCTTTCCAGCCAATACGTTAAGTAATACACTGAACAAAATTATAAAAGCAACACTTTTGTTTCTGCCCCCATTTATCATGAGCTGAACTCAAAGATCTAAGACTTTTTCTATGTACACAAAAGGCCTATTTCTCAAATATTGTTACCAATTCTGTCTAAATCTGTGTTAGTGAGCACTTCTCCTTTGCCGAGATAATCCATCCACCTCACAGGTGTGGCATATCAAGATGCTGATTAGACAGCATGATTATTGCAAAGGTGTGCCTTAGGCTGGCCACAATAAGAGGTCACTCTAAAATGTGCAGTTTTACTGTATTGGGGTGGTCTGGGGGGCCCGAAAACCAGTCAGTATCTGGTGTGACCACCATTTGCCTCACGCAGTGCAACACATCTCCTTCGCATAGAGTTGATCAGGTTGTTGATTGTGGCCTGTGGAATGTTGGTTCACTTGGCAGGACCTGGAATACGCTGTCGTATACGCCAATCCAAAGCATCCCAAACATGCTCAATAGGTGACATGTCTGGTGAATATGCTGACCATGCAAGAACTGGGATGTTTTCAGCTTCCAGGAATTGTGTACAGATCCTTGCAACATGGGGCCGTGCATTATCATGCTGCAACATGAGGTGATGGTTGTGGATGAATGGCACAACAATGGGCCTCAGGATCTCGTCACGGTACCTCTGTGCATTCGAAATGCCATCAATAAAATGCACCTGTGTTTGTTGTCCATAACATACGCCTGCCTATACCATAACCCCATCACAACCCTGGGCCACTTGATCCACAACGTTGACACCAGCAAACCGCTCACCCACACAACGCCAAACACTATGTCTGCCATCTGCCCTGTACAGTGAAAATCAGGATTCATCCGTGAAGAGAACACATAGAAACATAGAATGTGACAGCAGATAACCATTCGGCCTTATGCCTATCCCACGCATGCTTAAACTCCCTCACTGTGTTAACCTCTACCAGTTCAGCTGGAAGGCTATTCCATGCATCTACTACCCTCCCAGAAAGTAATACTTCCTGATATTATTAAGCCTTTGCCCCCTAATTTAAGACTATGTCCTCTTGTTGTGGTAGTTTTTCTTCTTTTAAAGATAGTCTCCTCCTTTACTGTGTTGATTCCCTTTATGTATTTAAATGTTTCTATCAGATCCCCCCTGTCTCATCTTTCCTCCAAGCTATACATGTTAAGATCCTTTAACCTTTCCTGGTAAGTTTTATCCCGCAATCCATGAACCAGTTTAGTAGCCCTTCTCTGAACCCTCTCTAGGTATCAATATCCTTCTGAAGATACGGTCTCCAGTACTGTGTACAATACTCCAAGTGAGGTCTCACCAGTGTTCTGTACAATGGCATGAGCACTTCCCTCTTTCTACTGCTAAAACCTCTCCCTATACAACCAAGCATTCTGCTAGCATTTCCTGCTGCTCTATTACATTGTCTGCCTACCTTTAAGTCATCAGAAATAATTACTCCTAAATCCCTTTCCTCAGATGTTGAGGTTAGGACTATCAAATATTCTGTACTCTGCCCTTTGGTTTTTACATCCAAGATGCATTATCTTGCATTTATCCACATTAAATGTCAGTTGCCACAATTCTGACCATTTTTCTAGTTTACCTAAATCATTTGCCATTTGGCTTATCCCTCCTGGAACATCAACCCTGCTACATATCTTAGTATCATCAGCAAAAAGACATACCTTACCATGAAGACATTCTGCAATAATAAAAAAAATATTAAAGAGAATGGGTCCAAGTACAGATCCCTGGGGTACCCCACTGGTGACAAGCCCAAGCTTTGAATATATTCCATTGACTACAACTCTCTGTTGCCTGTCACTCAGCCACTGCCTTACCCATTCAACAGTATTGGAATCCAAACTTAAAGATTGCAGTTTATTGATAAGCCTTCTATGTGCAACAGTGTCAAAAGCCTTACTGAAATCTAGGTAAGCAATGTCTACTGCACCACCTTGATCTATAATTTTAGTTACCCAATCAAAAAAATCAATAAGATTAGTTTGGCATGATCTCCCTGAAGTAAACCCGTGTTGTCTCTGATCTTGAAATCCATGTGATTTTAGATGTTCAACAATCCTATACGTTAACATGGTTTCCATTACTTTCTCCACTACTTAAGTAAGGCTTAGTGGCCTATAGTTGCCCGACTCCTCCCTACTACCTTTCTTGTGAATGGACACAACACCTCTCCAAAGTGCAGGACGCCATCAAATGTGAGCATTTTCCCACTCAGGCAGGGCCGGACTGAGGATACAAAGCAGCCCTGAAAAAAAAAAAAAATTTGTGCCAGACCCATAAGTCACTGCGCCATATATTGTCGCGTGTAATATGTAAGGCTATGTCTTGCCAGGACAGATGATTGAGTAAGATATATATATATATATATATATATATATATATATATATATATTGCTTTTTCTAATATAAAATATTGGTCCTTTCAGGGTAAAACGTTTAATTATACAGTAAGCATACTCACATGCAGACACAGGCAATTTCACTGACATCTCAATGACACACACAAGCTCATTGATACACAGCCTCATAGACAAACAATCTTACTGATATACATCAGCTCATTGACATAAAAACACAAGCTCACTCACTAGCAGGCACACGCATGCAAGCAAGCTCACTCACTAGCAGACGCACACACACAGCTTAATGTGGTGGTACTGGTGTCTATAGCATGTCCCTACAGGCTTTTCAACTTAAACACTGACTTTTCAGAGAAAAGGCAGTGTTTACATTGCTTCAAAGTGACACTGCTAGTGACAGTCACTCAGACTGTCACTAGAGGTGCTTCCTGTGTTAGTGCACCTACATTCAGGGCCTCCACACTCTGTAGGTGCTGAACGTTCCCCATAGAGATACATTGATTCAATGCATCTCTATGAGGAGATGCTGATTGGAGTGGCGTTTTGCAGCCAATCCTATGGCAAAGCATTGGATTGGCTGAGATCATCAAGCTTGATGATCTCAGCTATAGAGGCAGGGCCAGTCGAGGGGAGACCAGCACGCTGCGTGGGGAAAAAAAAAAGGTGAGCAAAAACATTATTTTTAAACACACATTTACACCATGACAGACACAAACACACATATACCATGACAGATACACACCCCATGACAGACCATGACACAGACAGACACACACACCCCATGACAGACAGACACACACACACACACCCCATGACGGACACACACCATACAGACAGACAGACACACACCATACAGACAGACAGAGACACACACCATACAGACAGACACCATGACACGGACAGACAGACACACACACCATACAGACAGACACACACACCACAGACAGACAGACACATTACTAGTACCTGCCACCAGGGGGAGGTCTTCTGGAGGCCGCTGGAGGACTTGTACTGGCTGCCGCTGGGGAGGTCTTCTGGGGGCCGCTGGAGGACTTGTACTGACTGCCACTGGGGAGGTCTTCTGGCCGCCGCTGGGGGACTTGTCCTGGCGGCCGCTGGGGGAGCTGCGCTGTCTGTGCTCTCCCGCCCTCGCGCGCTGCTGAGTGAGACCGGCGCCGGAATATGACGTCATATTCCGGCGCCGGTCTCATTCAGCTGCGCGCTGGGGAGCAGAGCCAGCGCAGATCCCCCAGCGGCCGCCAGGACAAGTCCCCCAGCGGCCGCCAGAAGCCCCCAGAAGACCTCCACAGCAGCAGCCAGCAGACCCAGGTATCTGCCCGGCCCCAGGTGCCGACGGCCCACCGGGAAATTTCCCGGTATCCCGGTGGGCCAGCCCGGCCCTGCACTCAAGTCGGTTACGACGTCGAACTGCAGTTAGGTCGAGACCCCGATGAGTATGACGAGCATGCAGATGAGCTTCCCCGAGACGGTTTCTGACAGTTTGTGCAGAAATTCTTTGATTATGCAAACCGACTGTTGCAGCAGCTGTCCAGGTGGCTGTTCTCGGATCTTGGAGGTGAAGATGCTGGATGCTGGTGTGGTTTGCGGTTGTGAGGCCGGTTGGATGTACGGCCAAATTCTCTGAAACGCTTATGGTAGAGAAACGAACATTCAATTCACGGACAACTGCTCTGGTGAACATCTGTGGCATTGTGCTGTGTGATAAAACTGCTCATTTTAGAGTGGCCTTTTATTGTGGCCAGCCTAAGGCACACCTGTGCAATAATCATGCTGTCTAATCAGCATCTTGATATGCCACACCTGTGAGGTGGATGGATTATCTCAGCAAAGAAGTGCTCACTAACACAGATATAGACAGATTTGTGAACAATATTTGAGAGAAATATGCCTTTTGTATACATAGAAAAAGTCTTAGATCTTTGAGTTCAGCTCATGAAAAATGGGGGCAAAAACAAAAAAGTGTTGCATTTATAATTTTGTTCAGTGTACATTCATAGGTGCCTGTTAGCTTGTTTGGAGAAGTTCGTACAATCTTGGTCAATTCGTGGAGTTTGCTTTCAAAGCCGTAAGCTGTCAGCCTACCCTTGAAGCTGAAGAATTTTCTCAGATGTCAGTCTGCACAGTAAAAGCTTTGCATGTGGTACTAGCTGGAAATTCTATTGAAAAGAGCGATCTTTCTCCCAGCAGCTTCATCTCCCTGGGAGCCACGATTATTTTTAATAGCCCCCGTGCTCTAATAATGCAGTTAGAAAATAAGACTTATGAGAAAACAATTGGTCATTTTGTGCAATTTATTTTGCTCAGAAAGGAATAGTGTAATCTATTGTACATTTTTTTTTTATTCTTTATTTTCAGTGCAGTAGCATTATTACAGACATTTGTGTATTTGCCACAACAGCAAAGAGTTAACTTGGTATTCCGAACATGTCAATACAGTAAATTGGCTAAAACATACATTGCACATTTTTTAATATAATGGGCTGTTAGGTTATAGCGATTTGCCTCCGTTAGTACTGGTACGTGCAAGGCTAGGAATTGCGATGTAGTGGCTCAGCCACAGAGAGGTGTCTGTTTTGGGCTAGGCACTAGTAAGCCATCAGTCTCATAACATGGCGTTGATGATCCTTGGGACCTGGGATGTTGTGCCACTGGCCTGGTAGCCCCGTTTGTTAGTGGGTGCATGGTTTTCTCCTTTAGTGTCAGGTGGTCTTAGTCTTAGGGCTGCTGGGTTGCAGATGGGGATTGAGGGGCGTAAAAGCGGGGTAGGCGCAACTAGCGATGCACTAGCACAGTTGTCTAGCAGACCCGTGTCACTATATGGCGCTGGGGTCTAACTGGTCCCTAAACACGTTGAGCCAGTGTCGGGTGGTCTTCGGCCTAGCTAGTAGGATGTCGTCTATATGGGGACGGGATGTAGCTCGGAGCATGGCTATCCATTTAATCAGTGGGGTACATCTATTGTGGCCGTGCGCTGTGGTTATGTGCTCCCAATATGTTGAGATCCAGGTGTGGAGTGTAGCGCTCCATGGTCGACTATGTCCCTTAACCCTAGGGCATTGGGGGGGGGGGAAGGGGAGTAGGGGAGTGCTGGAGTCGGTGTGCGGGGCTGCCGCCCTGCTGCTTGGGACTAAGAAAGAGAGTGTGTGTGGCATCTCCGGATCAGATATTTTGCAAAATGAGAAACATTGTGATAATATGAACATTGAAAGGGGGAAAAAAAAAACAAGAATATAAACTTTGTGTACTGGTTTTGTTTGGATGAGTTCAGCTTTCTGGGCCTTGTTCTCCTACACACGTGGGAGAGGGGGAGTCCTCAAAGTCTCTCAGATGAGCATTGGGTGTACCCGGAATGGGTAAACCTTGAAGGGGTGAGGCACAGCGCTGTCAAGAAGGCAGGGCCGTTTGCCGGGTCAGTTGCTTTGTATGTTTTCCCTTCCTTCGTGACCAGCAGTGACCTGGGGGTTGACCATCGGTACGGTAGTCCCGCGTTTTGGAGGCGTTTAGTGATGGGCTGCATTTTCTTGTGCCATATCAGTGTAGATCTGCTCAAGTCCTGAAAAGAGGAAATGTTGCTGGTTTAGAATTTGTATGGGGTCTTTACATTTTATTTTTATGTGATTATATTAAAATAAAGAATTGTGCCATTTATATTCTACCTGAAAGTGAACTGTTCCAGATCGAATCTCACCTTTATTGGGGGTGCCAAGGTCACTGCTGTAGTGTTTGGGCGCAGTTTAAGAGTAAACAGGTTACTCCAGGTATAAGTCTTTCTGCTTAAAATAAAAGTTTACAATTTTACAATTTAAGGGACACTCCAAACACCATAACCACTAGAGCTTACTTTAGTTATTATGGTATTAGGAAGTTGTGGGTGAAGTCCCTCCATTTGGTGAACAGTTTTGTAGGTTTGAGGTAGTTTGGCAAAAACAGTGAGATGCCCAGGCACCTTATGCCCGCCCTTTCTGCTGAAGATCTCATAATGAGGAAGTTCACTTCCTTATTAACTGTACAAAATATATGTGTGACTTGAGTGTGCATTGCATGCTCCCTGTGTGCAGTGAGCGTGGGTGAGCATCGGGAATAGAAAGGTTTGTCCACGCTTAAACACAGTTAACCCTGTTGTGACCAAGTTACTGATAGACCTTTTTCCAAATTAGCACAGGTAACTTCTCTGTTAAAAGATCATTTGCCTAGTTTATAGTAATGCTTGCTCTCTGTCTGTTACACGAGGTTTTATTTAATAAACCAAGAATTGTGGTGAACTGCCTTCTTTACAGAATTGGCAATTTGTATGCTAACTGGAGAATTTAGAAAACAAAACAAAAACAACTTTTGTCCTACACTTAAAATTCCAGGGCTTCGTGAATAAACCCTAAGAGGGACACGCCACTGCCCAAATTAGAAAAAACACAAAAAAAAAACAACAACACACTGTTAAGTATATATATTCCCAATGAAAACATGAATGCATGTTATTAGGCATTTTCTCATTGTGCGTATATCTAAAAACACCTTGCAAAACCTGCAGATCTCTTGTCTGCAGCCTTTACAAGCCCTCCTCTCCTGACATCACTCAGACTTTCTGTGGCTGTCCAATCACAGACTTCCCAAAGCAGCTCAATGAGAAGTCTTTGCAAGGCAGGTGCTCTGAGCAATTGCTGCCTCTTCAGTTTAGCTCCACTGAACTAAACAAACCAGGAAGGAGCAGAACCAGTCAGCCAGGGGGTTGTAATAAGGTTGGTTTTATAAAAGTGTCAATTTCCATTTAAATCTGCACTTTTTGTCAAGTGGAAAAAAAAAAAGGGTGGGACACAGTTCACACATAAAGCACTTTATTAATCTGTACTGCTTTAGGGGTCCGTAATGTCCCTTTAAGGAATTTCTTTGCGAATGGAGGGAATTATGAAGAACCTGCAAGGGTCTTCCATATCTCAGGCCAAACTAACTGAACAAAATAGCTGAATTGAAGATTTTTTTTCTTTTTTAACAAAATCTGCAATTGTGTAGAACTGATAAACCATAGGTTGTATTATATCCTTTACTCAGTGTAACCAGTTCTATGGATGTTTAGCCAATTTATGAATATATTATGCACTGCCCCTTTAAAAGTATAATCTCCAAATGTCCTTAACCCAACCTGGATAAACAGCAGTGCTCTACACACTCAAGAGTATGGTATGTTCAATGGCAGAAGACAGAATGAACTGCGCTAAAGTCAGATGGAACAGAATGCTGTGGAACATAAGGTTATATTCCTCGGAGTACTATGTTGTAATAAGAAGAAAAAAAACCTAGTCCCTATTCCATTTTGGTCTGTGTTACAGAGTTGCCCTTCTATCAACAAAATGTTTTATATTAGTAGAAATTATAAAATGTAAAAATAATATTAGAAAACATGCATATGGCCATATGTTTATTGATTAAAGGTGTAATAAATACATATATTTTGAGGTATTAGAAATTTTAAACATTTTGTTATTTATAATTTGCAAATTAAATAAAGAATGTCTGAAGGAAAATATAAAGGTTATAGCTGGAATAACCATAAGGTGACCTTAAAGGGACCTTACAAGCATGAAGTTGTTATGGTACCAGGAGATTTCCTGGCACCATCTTACCTTTAGGTGTTAAACCATGAAATGGTTTAACCCCAAAAATTCCTAAATCCAGCACTGGTTAGCTGTGCCCCTTTCCTTATGCTTTTGTTTGAGGCTTGAATCAGGAAGCCTTGGACGGGGGCTCCGCTGATTGGTTGAAAGAGTCCGCTGATGATCTAATCAGGAGCTCCCCATTCACAAAATGGATTGGGAAAGATATGTACTTTTTGCAAGCAGTTTTGTGAATAGGGAACTACTACTGATTGGCTGAGAATGTCAGTTGACACTCTAAGCCAATCAGCGGCGGTCCTGTCCAAGGTTTCCTGATTCAAACCTCGTACAAAAGCAAAAAAATGAGGGGGTAGAGCTCCCTGTTGCTGGATTCAACAGTTTGAGCCGTTTGTTAAGGTTTATACCCTAAAGGGAAGCCAGCATCTGGAAACTCGTGGCACCCTAACCACTTAATTCCAATGAAGTTGTTATGGTGCCCAGAGTGTTTCCTTAAGTGGCTGCTTAGGGCCCAGAGATTAGACAGGGGCCCAAAAACTATACTTGTTCCCATTCACCATCTTTAGAATCAAAATGAAGGGAGAGCCCCACACTGGTAACCTACCAAAGGCTCTCTGGACTTTAATTCCTCTCTACCACAATCAGGATATCCGAATTGGTTGCTACTGTATGTAAAAACTGGGAGTTTTGGTAAGAAATAGAAAGTTATAAATTTTGATTTTTATGGCATAATGTGAATAATCTGAAAGATTGTCTGGGCATTCCATATAAAGCCCAAGTTCACTCGTGATGGTCTTATCTGTTATTTCACTCAGGGTGTATATAATTGACAATGTTATATTCCAAATAAAATAAAATAAATCGCCACATGTAAGCTCATCGAGCAGGTCCCTCAACCCCTCTGTTCCCGTGCTATGGAATTTGCTGGCACTATATAAATAATAAAATAATAATAGTACTCTTGTGAGTACCAGAGACAATGTTTTGTACCAAACCCCACTAGAGGAATACTCAATATAAAAATCAATGCAATATGCCACATTGCACCAACTGACACTTGGCATTCATTGGCATGAACCTATAATTCTGTAATAACTGTACATCGTATCAAACTGATTACCATTAACGTTCATTTATTTCGGTTTCGGAACTGAACATATTTTTTCATGTATTAAATATTAGTGTCCCCAAAACACAGCAAATTAAACAATAACCTCACACATATGTAAGGCATACATTTTTTTTAAAACAAATTATCCAAGCACTCTTTGTGTACATCTACGTGTCCACCACCATTTCCGAACCTACGTCCACAAGCTACGGTCATGATCAATCCCATAGCCTTGTTAACCTGGAGACATCTTTGCCAACCACACAAACACTTCTTTTATACCCTCTTTAAAGCGGAGACATTGGCAGGCTTATTTTCCAAAGTGAGAATTTAAAATGAATTTCACATTTATGGCCATAGAAGCTGAATTTTTCTGATTCGAATTTCAAATTTAAGGTCAAAATAGGCACTTTGAATTCTCAAGAAGGTTGGTTGGACCTGATCCTTTGACTTTTCATTAATCCTAAAGTGGAAACATTATTGTTTTCTGGAAATCACACCTTTGAATAAAAAAATTTTAAAAAAAATTTAAATATCACCTACATCTTGGTAAAAACTTTTTTCACGTGAAGCTCCCTCCACTCCCCGAATTATTTTAAAGAGTTAGCAAATTACATCACAGTCCAGGCACAACCAAGGCACACGGTGTAAATTAGGAGAAATGTAAACATGGTTTCATTTCTCTCCTGCTCTGTATGTTTTCTCTATGCTGACAGAGCTTATAACAATAACTGACAAGGGGCCAAGATGGATGCCCCCGGTTGCAGGATATAGAGGCTTGGATTTCTTAATTTAATAAAAAATTTCATGCTGAACAACCACATTTTGTTAAATATAGGGATAAATAAATTTACCATATAAAAAAAAAAGAAAATTCCTAGGACAAGTTCCCCTAATAGCCAACTAATATTTTTTTTTTTTTTTTTAATCCAGTAGACACTTTCAACAAGCTCATTCAGGAATTTTATAAAATGACCAGTCATTATAGAAGATATTGTATAAAAGAATGTTTTGTTTCTGTTTTCTAAGATCAGCAATAGAAGGCTTAACTTTATGGCCCAAGACTTTTTTTTAGCTTATATTACTAGGTAACAACACTGACGCTTGGATGGTAATTTTGGAGGATTTTGGGAATGATGCGTCATTAACCCTTAAAATTGGTAGCTCACCTTCCTGGCAATGAGCAGGTTAAACGTTATGACATTTTAAGGACAATGTGAGAGACTGCTAGACACTGTGTTTCCAGAGAAAGAAAATCAGACAGCTATTTTGTCTTGTCAGTTTTATCAGTAAAGGCTGTGTCACTCTGTGACTTTAGGCTTTGTGTTGCTGGAAATTGGTTGCAAACCGGACACAATAAGAGTATCACGTGTAGAATGGCTAACCGAAGAAAGTTGTTCTGTGGAGAGCATTGTGAGTAGAATATGTGCACCAGAGCTCACTTATTCTGCTATGGCTTTTGCCTCAACATTTAATCTTGTCTGGAAGGGTTAGACTCATAATTCCCTCATCACAAGGAGCCTTCTGCATGACAGGGGACATTGCAAACTCCCTTCTTCTGAATGCGTACACTGAAAGGACCAGTTTGTTCCTCATGAAGGCCATCTCTGTTCTGCTGTTGGCCCTGCAGCACTGGGCTCTTGCCCTCTTTGAATAGGTCACTAGCAGGCACTGTCTGCAGGACCAACTCACTGGACAGACATAGCACTGTTACAGCTACGAAGGACACAGCAAAAAAACTGGAACTTAAAAAAAAATTTAAAAAAAAATGACCTTTGGTTTTTCCTTTTTCACCCTTATTTTTACAACAGGCAACATTCTTGCCCCACGTGAGGATATGGTCAATACTTGAAGTCTTTAAATGTCATTAAAAAATATAGGAAATCCGATGGTTAATAAAGTGCCTGAAAATTTAAATCTAATACATTTCACGTGAGAGGTCACTTAGTTGATACACCTTCCTTTTTCTGAAGTTTTTAAAAAAAATTCTGAGCGTTTTTGAAAATATCGGTCACAGTTTTTATTTTCTGTAAAGTCAACGTAGGCTTTCAAACTTCTGAAAGAATAATTAAACTGCGTACATTACGGTTAATAGAAGAGAACAATGTACAATCCAGTGGATACATGAAAACTACAGAGATCTCGAAAGTATCCTTTCGTGAACTATTCTCAAGTACAGAACATGCCAGGGTCAATCAGGGTTACTGTACCGGGAATACTGGGAATTGTTGAGAAAAGTTACAAAACTAGGCCAATGTCGTAGACCTGAAATAATAGCGGATTTAAAAAAGGGACCGTATATATCCATATATATATCCTCACCCCTAGAAGGTGCAACAATGAACTATGACTCCACAGTCATTCAATATAGAATCCAAAAAGAAGAATGTCCATCGCAGGTCCATAGCTATAAAAGCACTCCAAATTTACTGAGGTCCCCACAGCAAGCTGAACAATGTTTTAACCTAAAAAAAAAAAAAAAAAAGTGGGAGAGGTGAGAGCTGGGAAGGGGAGGTTGTTTGCCCCTTGACCCAGTAAACAGAATTCCAACCCCACCCTGGCAAGCAGAAACAGGAGGGAAGGAAAGCTCTCTAGAGGTAATAGGTATTCCCAGGTACCCTGAACGGTTACCCTAACTATGGTAGATAGCTCACACATAGGGAACTTAACGGTACTTCTTTATTCCCCTATCCTCTTCTTCCCCTCCCCTTTTTCGTTCTATCTACATGTTTGCGCTTTCGTTTCTTGGTTGGGCCAGTACATGTACCTACCTACTAGTATTATTCATACAAATATATATATACATACACACACACATATATACATACACACACGTCAACAGCAAGAGGGTAGGACGGGGGTGGTTAAATCGTTAAAACCACTGTTATACTATCTCTCTATATATGTCTAAAAAACCTTGTCGGCAGATATACAACTGTTACTATCGCTTATCAGAGACTATGAGGTGATACCGCGGCTTTCGATGGACTAACATGCATCATATCTTATCGAACACTCGGATGGTATGGCCTTGTATGATATCCTATGTACTTTTATCTCGAATTGTATGCGACGACAATTTAAAAATAAAGAGTAAAAAAAACAAAAAATACAAATAACTTGAACAATAAAATTTTTTTGCAGTGCAGATTCAAAGACATGCTGCCAATATGACATACAGCATAAAGTAATGTAACAAGACATAGTTATAAGGTGCTGCACGTTTTAACAATAACACGAGTTACAGGCTCAATACTAAACAGAGTAGGCATGTTGATTAGTGAGTAAACAATGTGTGAATACACCGGTTGTACGTGTAGTAAACAGTAATAAAGCTTGAACATGTCTATTCAACTGCACACATTTATAAACAGGTATAAATCAACATGAGAGGTATCAGAAAGATTTTCCCGGGAGGTCCCCAGCTAGTAGCATGTCAAGGGGAAAAGGCCAGAGGAACCGTTGGGTGAGAAAAAGGATGTTCACATGAACTTTGGTAAGGCGGTAATATGAAGGGCCAAGAGCATTTCCCAGTGGACCCAGATCACCCTATGCCGACAAGGGGTATAACAGAGTCCCGCAACTGTAAGAGGGTCAGGCCTCCATGTACGCCAGTAGGTAGCATCATATGCTGCCATTGGGTTATCCACCAGTACTTCTGCCCGTTTTAGAGTCCCAGCGCTGAGCCACAGTTGCTTCCTCTTGTATGCCGCCCTGCGTTGAGGCGACAGGCGCTTCCTGCCCTGCTTCCTCTTTGGGACCTTGTGTGTTGTCGGAGCTGTGGACCTCTGCTGCAAAGCTGGAATCTGCTTATGCTGTGAGGGTTCTGACTGCCTTGCGAGAGGTTGCTGCCTTCTGTGTTCCAGTATTAGCCAGAAGTTTTTGAATACATTGTCCAGCTTGGACATATCCCCAGATAGCCCAGATCTGAGCGCACAATATTACTGAATGGCGCTCAGAGCACACACATACAGTTCAATTGCCATGGAGCCAAAGTCTTTCCCATAGGCTCCATGGCATAGCTATCTGGGGTATCACCGCTCAAACAGGGCCAGCACCGAATAACCCGGTTTTCATGTCTTCGCAGGGGAAAATCAAGCGTTTCAACATGGGGCCATAGTCTAAAGGCAGCAGGTGGGCAACCAGGCTCCTCCAATGCACAGTGGCGAGATTGGTCTCGTCACAATTACAATTTCCGAGCCACAGAGGATTCAAAGTGAACCCTAAATCAGTTCAAAATCTTTAAAGGATCACTATAGTGTCAGGAAAACATAGCGGTTTTCCTGACACTATAGGGCCCTGAGGGTGCCCCCCTCCCGTGGCGCTGAAGGGGTTAAAACCCCTTCAACTGCTTACCTAATTCCAGCGCCCCTCCCCCCCGCCGACGTCAGCTCCCTCTGCCAACGTCAGCGGAGCCGAATGCGCGCACATTCAAGCTGTCAATAGGAAAGCATTTTTCAATGCTTTCCTATGGACGCTCTGCGTGATGGAGGCATAATATGCCTCCAGTGTCGCAGATGCGCCTCTAGTGGCTGTCCGGAAACTGCTATGTTTGCATCTGAAGGGTTAAAACCTGAGGGACCTGGCACCCAGACCACTTCATTGAGCTGAAGTGGTTTGGGTGACTATAGGTGGGTGGGGGCACTAAATTGGAATAAGGGGGGGACCTAATGTCCTCCCCCATGGCCCCCACCCCTGATCGGTGGGTGGGGGCCCTAAATACTAATAAGGGGGGGGACCTAATGTCCCGGCCCCAACCCCGCGGCGGATGGGGGCCCTAAAGTAAAATGATGGGGGGGACCTGTTGTCCTCCCCGCCCCTGAGCCGGTGGGTGGGGACCCTAAATACACTACAAGGGAGGGAACCTATTGTCCTTCTGGCCCCCAACCCCTGGCGGTGGGTGGGGCCCTAAATAAGGGGGAATAATGGCCTTGGCCCCACCTTGTGGGTGGGGGCCCTAATTTCCTTTCCTCCCCTGGCCACCCCCTGAGCGCGTGGGGGCCCTAACATATTAATAAGGGGAGGGACCTAATGTCCTCCCCTGGCCCCCTGGCGGGTGGGGGCCCTAATTGGGAATAGGGGGGGACCTACTGTCCTTTCCCTGGGCCCCCACCCTGAGCTGTGGCTAAATTGGAATACGGGGGGCCAATGTCCTCCCTGAGCCATGGGTGGGGGCCCTAACACTAAGGGGGGACCTAATGTTGTCCCCTGGCCCCTACCCCTGAGCTGGGGGGGGCCCCAAATACTAGTAAGGGGGAACCTAATGTCCTTCCTCTGGTCCCCACCCCTGAGCTGGGTGGGGCCCTAAATACTCAAAGGGGGACCCAAGGTCCTGGCCCCACCCCCGAGGTGGGTGGGGGCTCTAAATACTCACAAGGGGGGACCCAATGCTCACCCCTGGCCCCTGAGCCGTGGGTGGGGGCCCTAAATACCAATGGGGACCTAATGTTCTCTGGCCCCCACCCCTGAGCAGCTGGGTGGGGGCCCTAATACCAATGGGGGACCTATTGTCCCCCACCCCTGAGCCGCAGGTGGAGGCCCTAATACTACAAGGGGGTCCTAATGTCCTCCCCCTGGCCCCCACCCCTGAGCGGTGGGGCCCCAACAAAAAAATGTCCTCTCGTGACTAGGGGTCCCAAACCCCTAGTCACCCCCCCCCAAAAAAAATTATCCCCATACCTACCCACCTCAACCTAAAATAATGAGGGGGACCTTTAACTAAGTACCTGTAAAAAAAATTCAATGTTTTCTTTCTTCTAAAAATCTTCTTTTCCAGCCCCAAAGGGTCAAATAAAAAACACCATAATAATTGACGCAATAAAAAAAAAAAAAAAAGAGTGCAAAAAAAAAAATCCATCTTCACCCAGCGAGGGATCCGCGCAGACTGAGCTCTGCAGGGCGGGGGAAGGCTTATAAAGTCTTGCCCCGCCCTGCAATCAGGCTCAGAGCACTCTGATTGGTGGGTTTAAGCCATCCAATCAGAGTGCTCTGACAGGTAAATGAAGGGACTGACAGGTAAGTCTCTACATTTACCTGTCACAGCACTTTGATTGGTTGGTTTGAAATCCACCAATCAGAGTGCTCTGTGTCATTTTACACAGTGTGGGAAAGTTCTTTGGAATTTTCCAACGCTTTGTAATTTGACTCATAACTCTCTGATTGGTTACTTAATCCACCAATCAGAGAGTTATGAGTCAAATTACACAGCGTGGGAAAATTCCAAAGAATTCATATTCGGATTGAAACGAATTGCACATGTCTACAGTTTACATATTTACACTTTAGTAACTAACTCCTGAACATTACCTACTGTTTATAGGTTTTTATCTTTACTATTTCTCTTTGTCCATTAACAGCTTTTCAAATGATTTAATGATTTTTTTTTAAAAAAAACTTTTCAAATTATTCACAAAATAAATAGGAAATGGTGGAGAGACGGACGGATCTGTCTGTCTTTCTAGCTCATCTTTGCATACAATGACAACTGTGTCATACAATTAGTAAAATGTGAGATTCCGGGGCGTGGCCTAACCACTGAAGCGGACGGTCGCAGGATTGCTGAGCTCCAGGCCTGAAACTGACAAAACCCACTAAAAACACCCACAATCGGGTCAAATCCAACCCAGACGGACCCAAACGTTTAGGTAAACGCGATGGGGCGAAAGACAAAGAAGTTAAAGCCCGAAAAACTCCACCCGGGCACACATATTGGCGAGTTGTGGCGGAAGGCCCAAGAAGCCTCTCTCCCTAACATGGCGTCCCTTCATGGCGGATGCTCAGACTTCTACAGTGAGTCTTCGGATGAAGCAGAAGGGGAGCCCCTACAAGCCAACCCCAAACTCCCACTGAATCGAACACAGCCCCCACCACCCGCCGCAACCCCTACCCCGGTGAGCATGGAGGCCATCAGAGAATTAATGGCAGACCACCATAAAAAAATATCAGCGGATGTGGCCTCAATTCGGGACACGCTGAAGGGCCTCAGTGGACGACTTGGAGCTGTGGAACACACCACGCAAGCCCAAGACACACATATCAAGGAGCTACAGCAAGAGATACTGGCGCTGAGGAACCTGTCCAAACAAAATGACTTACGGTTTGCAGAGCTGGAAGATAAACGTCGGCTGAAGCATCTCAAGATCAGAGGAATAACAGATACTGTGACGGACTCTGAACTGCCCCATTTCGTGCGGCGGCTCCTCACGATAATGCTAAACCCAAAACATGCTAAAGCAGTGATACTGGATGAAATATTCCGTATCCCAAAACCCGCTAAAGCTCCAGACGCAGCCACCCGTGATGTGATCCTGCAGTTTCAAGCCCAAAGAGACAGATCCGCAGTTCTGGCCGTGGCCAGGCTCCAACAGACCTACCCCTTCGAAGGCATGAACCTAATGTTTTATGCGGACCTCTCGGGAGCCACTTTAGCCTGGAGGAGATCCCTGCAACAATTGACATCACTTCTGCGTGAGAAACATGTCACATACCGCTGGGGCCCGGCTCACACCCTGATGGTAACAAAAGGCGAAGATACGCATAAAATTCACTGCATACAAGAGGCACCGATGATCCTGGGGTTGCTCGGCCTCCCCCCGAACGCATTGACCCAGCCAGCACCTAAGGACAGACCTCGGAACCCCCCAAGTTGGGAAACAGCTAGCGCTGCTGAATTTGTCCCCAGACGACAGGAAGAATCACCCACCGTCGCTGCCACGACCTGAAGGTCAATTCTGGACTGTGTGAGTTACCGGGACATTGCCCCACCACTAGGCATATTATGCATAGGGACGGCCATGCACAACCCAAACCCACACTACTGAACAACCCAATCGTTTCCACCCCATCATTATATTTAGCACTATGACTTCAACTGTTTCCCCTTTCCTTGTTATTTTCTCTCGAACACCATAGTGAGCTTGTAGTTCACACCAACCAGTTAAATCTGACGCCAGAAATGTTCACTCACCTCTTAGTACATTCGATATTGCCTTGCCAAATTATAACAATATACATTGTTTTATTCCTGATACGACACTGTTTGTGCCCATAGACCTGTGGTCGCGAATGAGGCACTATAGAATTATATGTACGATGCATAGCATAACAAAAACTAACTTTTAAGGGAGGGAAAAGATAGGTTATCAAAGGAGAAGAGGAGGAGGGGAAAGGGGAGGAATAATCTAGGTGTTAAGGTGTATAGGACTGCTCACACCCGAGTTCTGTTGTCTTCCTAGTTTATCGTATTTTATTACACTTTTTCATCACCTAGTACTTCGACCATCAAAAGTAGTCTCTGGTACAAACTCGCATATTAGTCACTACTTATGTTAAGCTAGATCTCCCCGCTGACATAACCATAAGAAATGAACGCTGAGTATCCACCTCAGCATCCTTACGGGTGATTCTTCTGTGTATAACTTAACCAGAGACCGCTTAGGTCAAAAAATGTCAGATTGTTTATTTCCCTTTATTTTTTAATGCTAACGTGGACATGGTATGTCCCTCTCTGTTTGGTGGTATGTTACTTTCCCTATATATTTACCTTTAACATTTAACCTAATTTTCATTTAATTGCACTTAACCTAGCCAAACTATATTATTTTCTATCAAGTCTGTAAGTCAACCAGTATTAACACCTGTACTTATAGCCTTAACTGACACGCAAGACTAAAACTTATAAATATAACTTCGCCTACAACCTACAACTTAACGTTAATTAATATGCTGATATCTCCATGTTACTACTGTATCAAAGCTGTGTTTATGCTTCTTGAATTTACCATTGCGACAAAGACAAATGTTCAGCACATCTCAAGCGTTGCTCACTCATTGCTTATATTTTCTTTTATAAAACTAAAATTGTGCTGTATAGTCATATGCCACGTTATGTTTCCTCTGTATATTACTGCTTGTGACTGCTGTTGTGGCTGAACAAGCCTATTGTTAATCCATGCACTTCAAAAATAAAGAATTAAAAAAAAAAAAAAAATGTGAGATTCCCAGAATTGACAAATATAAAGCTTTTCAGGGCGCGGGCATCAATTTCCCCATGGGTTCTACCACGTTCAGCGCTCAGCATCTCCTAGCTACACAGCTGCCACTTCTTATGATGTCATTAGTACCAGTTCTTAGACAAACCATTTGGTAACAGCAGGAGGGAGAGATTTGAAGGGAGCACACCTTCATCACAGAGCACTCTTTCTGATCCACCATAAATGTTTGTAGAATTTCTCGCAGGGGTACCAAAAAGAACCCGTCACCTTCAGTGAGCTCTCTCAAATGTCAGTGAAGTCGGTAAATCCTTAAAACTAAAATATCTGCAGAAATGGCAAAATGACAGTTAAACTCAGAAGCATGAAATGTGAAGACAGATAATGCATTTTTTTTTTAAAAGATACGGACTCATCTAGTCTCACTGTTCCTAAAAAGCCAAAGATATTCTATTATATATGTCATTCTCGTGACAAACTGAAATGTCAGACAATAAACCATTTTTAACTATTATACTAAGAGGTAAATATATCTATATGCAGCAATATATTCTCGTAATTGCTCTCTCTCTTACTTACTTTGAACACCGTCAGGTTATTTTCATTAAAGTAAGAATTCAAAGAGAATTTCACATTTAAGGCCAGAGCAGCCAAACTAAGAGCATTGCCGACTTAAAATTTTTTTTCCTGTTTGGCTATTTTAACATTAAATTTTAAATTCACTTTGAATTTTTACTTTAGTGAATAACTGTCAGGGTTATTCAGTAATGAGAGATTTCAAATATGTAGTAATCTAGGTTGAAAAAGACTCAAATCCATCGAGTTCAACCTTAAACAGTTTTAGTAAGCAAAAGGAAAGTAAACGCCGTTAGAAGCAATGGCCAAATCCTAGGCTAGGAATTCACTAGGGTGTCCAACGGTTAAAAGGTAACACCCCACACACTAGGCATTTGAAGTTAAGTGGGGTCAAAAGTACCTCAATGGCTGCAATCATTGGGTGAGGCTGAGAATATGGGGGGGGGGGGGGAGAAATAGAAACAAGGAAGAAACATTTAAAGAATGTTAAGAGAGCCCTTTAAGCATATTTGTGTAGTGGTTATGGTGCAAAGAGGCTATGGATACCATCCCAAGTCCCACGGCTTCAAATTGTTTGAGCGAAAAATATGGATAGTCCCCAGCCTGCCCGCACTAATTTACATGACTCCAAAATAAAAATGTGGACTAACTTCAGTTGTAGAATCATCCGAGTCAGTATAGGAAGGTTTAGAGGCCATAGTACTTAACCTTTAAAAGCATTTTAATTTAAAACAGACTATTGTAAACCCACTATGTGTACTCCACAGAGCCTGGAGCTTTCATGCGGATACAAATCTGGTAAAAAGAACTTTTCAAAGTAAGTCCAAAATCACTTGTAGAGATCAACAACAGAATCAATGGGAGCAATGATCCACATTATTCGAAAGGAGACTCCTGCCCCTCTGTCTTGCGTAAGACTGTGTCGTATGTGTTTTCCCCATGCCTAGTGGCTAGCTAAAGGACAATAGAGCTGTTTTGTGACTTTGTACTTCACTGTATGTTTGGTTTTGGTTTTATTTTTTTTCTCCATTTCCTCTCGAATGTCACACTTCATCAGTAGAAAGAGCCCCATAATTCAATCACTCAAAAATATATTTTAGAATAAACCCGGGAAGAAGACCCATAGACTTATAACACCAGGACTACTACAATGAGCTGTAGTGGTTATGGTGCATGTATTGTCACTTTAATTTGACCATAAATTGGTGTGCCCATGACAGGTACACTTCATGTCCTCTTCCCCTCGTCTTCCTGTTTTTCTTCCAAATTAGCTATTTTATGTGCACGTCTATTGGGTCTCCTCCATGTATGGTAATTATCCTAATTCTAGATTATTTTAGAAGAGAAAGAGACCAGGAGTAAGTGAGATCATCAGATATGATAGAATTAGAACACTAGAGTGGAGGTCTGGGTATCTGCTGTTTGGCCAATGAATGATACATGGCTTATACATAGTGTTGTTAACCCTAATTTTCCAAGCCAGAAGAGTCCGTTCTGGATTGAGTAGAGCGGTTTCTACATTTATACACTGCGGGCGTAAACCGAGCTGTGTGCATTGTCCGTGAAATGTTCTGTATGTGAACCCTCACCGCCTACATTCTTAATGCGTAACAGCAAGTGTATACACAGCAAACAGAAAATCGGTTCTACCCTGAAACCAGTCATAAACAGGAGGGACGGTGTATGTTGCAATGCTTTGTAGAGAGTGCACTGTTAAAGCTTTGCTTGTCCTCTCTCTGCCTCTGGCTGTAGGAAGCAGCAAATAGCAGGAGTGATTAGTAAAGGCTCTCTGATAATGGGTCGGGGGTATGCAAGGTATGGGAAGAAGAGACATTGGAAGAGGCATCCTCATGATTGCCTGACAATGGTCATGTCCTGCTTTATTTCAGTGTCTCTGTTAACCCTTCTAATGCCCAAGCCTGGGAACTGAAAACCACTTGCAACATCCATCCAACATCATAATGAAAATATTACTCTGCTTTTAATGGTTCATCCAGCGATCAAATGATTATAAGGAAATGCAGCCGGAATTATTCCTAAATTATATTTCCAATATTTGTATTTTGATTCTGGTGGAGGGTACTGAGCATTTTAGCTCAATATCAGCTGCAATGAATGTTTTGACCATCTTTAGGTTATGAGATGGTAAAGGTACATAGTGACGCTTTGCCAGGTCTATGGAAGTCGGGTTCCTATAAACTGCAGGGTCCTAGATAAAGTCAGACGCTACCTTACATTGATCTTATTTTACCGGTCAAATCATTGTTATAAGCCTTGCCCTTTACAACTGTCAGTCAGCATAGACAGAGGAAGAGCAACAGCAACAATGTTTCTAGTTCCCCTCCACCAATCTATCGTGCCCTGGTTGTGCCAAGACTAAACAGAATTGTGATGTCAAACGCTAAATCTTTAAAGTACATTTAAAAGAAATCGGAGCATCACATGAAAAAAAAAAAAAATAATAATAAATAATAACAAACTATAAGTGATTTTGAATGTGTTAGTCAATGGCATAATTTCCCCTTAAACTTGTTAATGCACTAATATTTTATCCAGGGATCCAAATCCTGTACAAGTTATTAGTTTGGCAACCCATTCTTTAATTTTGGAACTCTGACCCATTTTTCAACAGTTATGGATTTTATACAAATTATTTTTGAAAAACATTTTCATTAGGCTCTTACCAGTATCAAAGGTCTCCTCTGTAGGGAACATGGGCTCCAAATGTTTGTCCTTACGCAGGGGTTCAGAACTATTGCACTAAAACCTAAAAACGATTGCACAAAAAATCTCTTGATCTCGACAGACTCGCAGTTAAACATACTTGGATCTGTCCAATCACAAGACGTTGCTAATGGTTTCCTACAAAGTTTTTGTCCAGTTCAGATACAAATCTAGTCAACATGGACTTCGCAAGACTAAGCAGGCAGGGCCATTAATAAATTACAATTTAAAGGGACACCATAAGCATCAAAATAACTCTAGCTTAATGAAGCAGTTTTGGTGTATAGATCATGCCCCTGCAGTCTTACTGCTCAATTTGCTACCATTTAGGAGTTAAATCACCTTTGTTTCTTTTTCTGCAGCCCTAGCCACACCTCCCCTGGCTGTGACTTACACAGCCTGCATGATGGTTTTATTTTTAATCAAATGTTAAAGTTGTTTTTATCTCCTGCTCTGTAAATTGAACTTAGAACAAGAGACTCCTGCAAGGTCTAGCAAGCTATTAACAGAGCAGGAGATACATTCTTAAACAGAATTTGCAGCAAAGGAATTGTAAACATTAGATGACTCTTTACAGGATGTGTTTAGGAAGGATGTGCAAGTCACATGCAGAAAGGCTTGACTAGGGCTGCATGTACAAAGTGATTTTACTCCTAAATGGGGTTAACTATTTTACCATTATTCATCCAGCCTTCGGTGGCTGCAGTCTTGCTTCACAAATGGCGGTCTTGGTCAACATTAAAATGTTGAAGTGGGTCATTATGTGGGGTACTGACAAGGGAAGTTATGGCCAAAATAACCGAGTTGGAACTATTAGCTGAATAGGTGATTTATTTTTTTCTAGCTTAATTATTTTGGTTTAAAAACATTTCCTTAACCACTTCATCGCTGCACTTTTGTACACCTTGGAAATGGACTTCTGCTATCTATCAGTAATTGGATTTTAACCCTTTGCCTGAACTCTTGGCCACGATGTTTTACACAAACCCCTCCGGCTCACAACAAGTTAATCAATCACCTTTTTAAATGTGGTTACCTGGTGCCCTTGATTTTGAGAGCACCCTTGGAGATATAGTCCCAGACCTGCAGCCAACCTCAATTGTTTAGCAGAGAATATGCACACCCATTGCCTTTCCTCCGCAGTTTCACCACTAGCATCATGAGTAATTTATCAGGGTCTTATGAATATGCAAATGAGGCATGCTGCTCTTTCCAACATCTTCAGCAATCCTTTAAAGGACCAGAAGTGATTGGCTGAGGCAGCGTCTCACTAAAGAGAATTTTACTCACGTCAACATTCTCTCCCGATGCAAAAATAAATGGGGTATCACAGGTTCAAACAGCTGTGTGTTTTTACAGATTTGTTGTGTGCAGGGAGTATAAATTGTGCTTTTTGTTGTCCATTGTGTGTGTGTGTGTGTGCTTAAAATGCTTTGTTTGCAGAGCTGTTGTGCGTGAGTTTGTTAGATGTCAGTGCCTTTTGTGTGTATCTGCATTGTTAATTGTTAGTATAATTTAATTTTGTGACCTGTGAAGCTTGTCTATCCTTGGATGTAATTTGTTAATCCACTGGACTCAGGACTAAATAGATTGTATTAACCGTTTATTCATTGTGGGTTTTGTGTGTAAAAACTTGTAGAAATTCAGTTTTGTTTTTTTCCTCAATGTGTGTGGTATTGTGCGTTTATTGTTTATATCTTAGTATGTTTGAGTATTTTTTTGTGTCATATTGGATATTTATTCCAGGGGCAAAACAGTCACAATGGGTCCCCTCTAATATATTGTGTGTTTGGATGTTACAATTGTAAGCTGACACTATTGTTTTATATACTTATCCATACACACTGGGCCTCCTGGTGGGCTGATTGAACGGACTACCACTAGCACACATTGGCTTAAACCAAACTCCAGGTTTGTTGGCTGTATTTCAGAATGGGGCCCCCAGTGGTGCTTACAAAAAGCAACTGTTAGTAGCTTTTGTATGGTGTGGGTGTGTGTGGCTGTGTGTGCAGTATATATATATATATATATATATATATATATATATATATATATATATATATATATATATATATATATATATACACACACACGTGTGTCATCGCAAGTGTGTGTAATATGAGTGATTGTGTATTTGGGGGTAGTGTGCACAAGGTAAATCTGGTGTCTTTGAGTGTGAGGTGTGTGTATTCATCATTGTGTTCCATAGTACGCACATTTAGTGTATGGTGTGTGTCCTATGCTTTAGTGATGACGCACAGTGTGTGCACAAAAAGGACCAGAAAACACAAAATATATTGTTTCAAATCCTTCAGGAGGACATAAAATCACTTAAGTTATGGTGTGTGAACAATTCCCCATTTTTTGAAAAAATAAAAATTTTTTACTAGAGCAGGGCAATTTAAAGTTGTGTTGCAGTATATTTTGTGCGTTCGGATTGTATTTTACAGAACACACACCACGATATTTACAGAACACACTATATCGAAGTCAGGGGGCAATGTTGTGAAGCCGAAGTTGTACGTATGGTCTGTTTAATGCCTTTAGAAGGTAATGTATGGCCTGCTGTATCACTGAGGTGCAGAATGGTATACTGCAGGCAATTGTTAGGTGAAGTAATGTACACTGTGTGCGTTTGTGAAGTGATGTAATGTATACGGAGTGTGTTAGGTGAGGTAATGTACACTGATTGCACTTCTTAAGTGAGGCAATATACACAGTGTGCATTACTGGAGTGTAGCAAGGTACACGGTGTGCATGTTAGTGGGGTGCAGGAAGGTACACAATGCTTTGTGGAGTAAAGTATTGTACACTTTATCTGTTAGTGTGCTTTCGTAGAGTGCAGTAAATTACAGCGTGTGCATTCGTAAAGTGCAGTAAGGTACATGCAGGGCCGGTGCAAGGATTTTTGCTGCCCATTCATTCCATCCACGCAGACTTACATACACAGACCAATACATACATACACACAGACCCATACATACACGGACCCATACATACACACACAGACCCAAGCACACTGACATACTGACACACATTCTATGAAAAACACTGTGCATGCTCTCTTACCTTCATTGCACTTCGCTCTTCATTCCTGTCTTTTTTACTGCGCCCGGCGGCCAAAACTTTTTTCCCAAGCCCCCTTTCCTGTTATTCTCCCGCCCCCTTGTCCCCAAGTACAAGGAAAGAGACGGGAGCGAGTGACTAGGTGAGGGGTCCTGACTTAGAAGGCTGTGGTGAATGCTGGACTGATGTTCTGTTGGGCGCCAGTCTACAAGTAAGTGCTCCCTAGCACCCGGTAACGCGGCCAGCTATATATAATCAATCCCACTTGATAGCGGGCGGTCAGACAAGCAGTAAAGTCACTGCTGGCGCCCCCCCTAAGTAGGTGCCCTAGGTTGCTGCCTATTTAACCTATAGGACACGCCGGCCCTGGGTACATTTAGTTAATATTTATGATTGACTGAGGCATAACACCATTGGGAGGTTTGCTGATAGGGTCAGGGTGGGCGACGCCCAAAATGTGCAGGACCATCCAGAAAGAGGCAGACCTGCCCACAGAAAAGGCATGGCAGGCTGCATGACTAGCTATCTTCCCCTGGCCCACCCACTCCCTCCACATTGGCACAACTCCCAATGCAGTCACAACTATTAACAGAGTGACAAAATGATGTAAAACAATAACTCAATAGAAGTAAACTGTGTGAATTCCCCCCCCCCCACATATAATTAATAAGTACTTTATTTACAAAACCCACGAAGGCTCACAACAAGCTCCGCACAACACAAGTGCGTTTATTGGTGTGCTCATGCTCTGCTGACTGGGGACAAAAATCGGGAAAGTGTAACAGTACTCTGAAATTGGGATCATCCCACCTAAATCGGGAGGCCTGCATAAAGTGTGCGTAGTATGTTGTGTGCTTTAATGTGAGTGCGCTTATAATGTATTCTGTTAATGCTCTGCTGCATGTCCGATTGTATATGTGGTATGTTTGTCTTTGTGTGGCATGTTGTGCCCTTCACGGTTACTGTGTACGGTATGTTGTGTGCCTGAGTGTGTGTACATGATATGCTGAATGCTTTAGCGTTCATGTGTGCATTGTGAGGTATGTGCAATGTTCTGTTTGTATGATTAATTTTCATTGTATAATGTGCGTTCGTGCGTGTGTGTGTGTGTACCTTAGAATGAACTTGTGTATGGTAGGTTCTCCTTTGTGTATGGTATATTTTATAGCCTACTGAAGATTTCAAATATTTTATATTTCCCTTACTGTTGGTGTGCCCATTGTGTATAGGGTTTAATAGTGTTCGCATTTATATGTTGTGTTCCTTAATGTTACTATGTGTATAGTTTATATAGTGTGCATTACTGTGTGACATGCTATGCATCTTACTGTTAGTATGTGTATTGTATACAGTGTATCCTTTGGCATACAGTGTTAGTGTCAATATATCTATAGTATGTTGTGCATTTTAGGTCTTAGTTTTGTTCGTGTGTGCATTGTATGTTGTAGGTCTTGTGTTTGTGTCCGTGTGTGTGTGGTATGTAGTGTGTCTTGGTATTCAAGTCAATGTGATTGCAGAATGTAATGTGTCTTACTGTCCGTGTAAGAACTGTATGTTGTATGTCTCTGTGTCAGTGTGTTTTTTTGTGTGTCTTGATGCTAGTGCCAGTGTGACTACTGTGTGTTGTATGTCTGTGTGTTTTGATGTTAGTGCCAGTGTGGTATGTTGCATGTCTCTGTGTCAGTGTGAGTACGGTATGTCTTTGTGTCAGTGTGCTTTGTGGTGTCTTGATGCTAGTGCCAGTGTGAGTGTGTATGATATGTATCTCAGTGTGGTATGTTAAGTTTCTCTGTGAGTACTGTATGTTGTGTGACTGTGTCAGTGTGCTTTGTTGTGCGAGTGTGTATGGAGTGTGTCTCAGTGTGGCATGTTGCGTGTCTCCGTGTCCGTGTGAGCGAGGTATGCTGTATGTCTGTTTTAGTGTGGTATGTTGTACGGGGTGACATATGGCATGCACACAATGAGGCAGCGCTCAGTTGTACACACAGGCTCCATGGGTTAACGAGACATGTGTCACTGAGCTGCCGCTGCCACTCCTTATACTCTGGTACAGAGAGCTGCTGAGCCAGACTAACCAGTTCAAGAGAAAACATTGCATTCAGTGTCTCCACCAACTGCTAACTTATTTCCCTATTCACATCCCCCACATCTCTCTCATTCTGCCCATTCTCTCTGATCACTCCTGGTCCTGGACACTCTCGTTCATGTTTCTCTGTCTAATTTTTGCCTTCAGGCTGCGCACTCTGTTTACTATCATTTTCCTTCTGGCCTTTCTCTTTAATATTGTTCATCCTCTCTGTCACTCTCTTCTTTTGCCCTGTCTCTTTGTATGAGCCTCCCATGTGCTCTCACTTACTGTCCCATCTCTGTCTCCTCTACCCCCTCCTCTCTGGTGAATTGGTAACAGTATTGATAAGGCTATTGAGAATATTGAAATATGATCTAAAAACAACCAAACTGGAAAAATCTCTCATCTGGAATATTTTGACCTAAATGTGATTTTCAATTCTCCCCAGTTCACTGTTTAGTAAATAATCCCGTCTTTGTCTCTCTTCCTTCCTGCTCCCTCACCCTGTCTTTTTACACTCTTGTCTTTCCTGTCTCTCTCGCCCACTCTATCTCATGCAGCTCTCTCTCACTCTCTAATCTGCTACACATTTCATTTTCTAAAACTCAAAACTTATCACAACACTCTGATTCTGTTACGCTCTCGTTGTGTCTGTCTCTCTGTATAATTCTCCCGGTCTCTTTCTATGCAATGGTCTGTCTTCCATTCTTTGTGAATCTTTATCAGTTTGTTGTATTTTCTCTCTTTCCCTGTCTCTTTGGATTATTCTCTTCCTGTGTCTCTCCCTGGATTCCACTGTCTCTCTGTGTATGTTTTCGTCTCTCTCACTCTGTTTATCTCCCCATCTCTCATGCTGTCTTACACGCTGTATCTCTCTGTACATGCCTCTCTGTTTCTCTACCTCTCTTTTTCTGTATATATTTATCAGCATCTCTCACTGTATGTATGTGTGTGCAGCCCTCTGTCTCTCGGTCTGTTCTCTCTCTCAATACAGCCCTGTCTCTCTTTCTCTGTGTACCTATCTATTTCTGCATCTCTCTTCAATGGTCTCTTTCTGTATCTCAGTATCTGTCGCTCATTCCTCTTTCAGTTCCTGTTTGTCTCTCCCATCTTCTCCTGTCTATATGACTTTGCTGTCTCTTCATGGGCCCCTGTCTCTAACACTAACAGATCTCAGCTCTATTCTCACTGCTGTCTGTCTCTCTCTCTTTCTCTCCCTAAATATAATCTCACTACCCCTGTTTCCCCATCTCATTTCTTTTTCCTTAACTCCCAGTTCTGTTTTGAGGTCTCTTTTCTTCAGTACACTCTAATTCTGTTTACCCAGTCTCTTTTTTGGAGGTCTCTGCCCTCACTTCCTCTAAAATCAATGTCTCTTTCCCTGACACTCTAATGTCTATCTCTCTCAATACCTCTTTTTCATATCTCGTTATATATTTCTTGCCCTTTTTCTCTTACCCCTCTCAAGTCTCTCTCTCCCCCTGTAACATCCCTCTCACTGACCTTTCTCACTGTCTCTCCTGCCTGTCTCTTCCACCCTCCCCTTTCTGTCTCTCATCCTCACACCCCCCCTCCTCACTCCAATCCTCTCTTGCAAGCTCTCTCAAGAACATTTCCCCCTCACCAACATGTCCTCCCTTGGTATATCTGCCTTACAAAAACCTCTAAGCTCCTCTCTTTTTAGACCCTACACCCAGCCATATGAGCCCTAAAATGTTTGTTTATTTTCCCACACGAGTGACACACATGGTCCCAGTCTGATGTGTGCATTTTCTGTCCCTCAAACCCCCTCTGTGTTTCTGGTCCCTTCCTTATTAGCATACAGATTCTAACCTAGCTGCTCTGTCCCTCCTAGAACAATGTGTCTCCTCTCTGTGCAGCTGTCTCTTTCTCCCCTGCTGTCTCTGGGTTTGAGCCCATGCATTTTTACTCTGCCCCTTATCTCAGTATCCATATTACCCTTGTAACAAGCCTGTTTCACTGAACTGTGTATTTCTATGCCTCTCACATTTGGATGTTGTATTCAGACACCCCCCTCCACCTCTTGTTCTGTGTTGTAATTTTTGTAGCATTATGAATTTTTACAGCTTGGTAATATACCATACAGACCCCAAATCGCCTGCACAGTAACCATGAAATGAATTTCCTGATCTGCTAACAAATTGGCCATTATGATTATTATTAAGGTGTTTAGCTGAAGACAGCCATCTGTATAGAAAATATATTGATATTGAATGCCCTTGCTAAAATATCACATTGTATCCCCTGCCTATCTGTAAAGAAAAGGAAAATTAGACAACAAAAATCAGGAGAAACGTATCAGATGTTTAATTAAAGAAGGCATTGTGAGGGTATTTGAATATTTTAATTGGGCTGAATGGGGATTTTTTTTTTTTTTTTTGGAGAGCTGCAGCAACAACAAAAAAATATATATATAATCTAAATTATTAGCTTTATTTTCTGTAATAAAATTACAACAAAAAACAAAACACAAACTTAAGCAGTTGTGCTTACTGGTCAGTGTCCCCTATTGGTGACATCACTGAGATTTTTGATTAGGTGGCTAAACAAAATCTATTATTTCAATTTGACCTTGTACTGCATTCTCCTAAAATTGTCTTAGTTTGGGAATATGATGCCATCAGCTGTACTGTAACCAAGTGAACTATGTCGAGCTATGAAGCTTTGAAGAAGTTTGAAAAATCACAGCAATCCCGCCACGGTGTGTCAGGGGACAAGAACTGCTGGTGATAAGCTCTTTTCTGTAAAAGATTTGGAAATATTGGTAACAGCAATCACACCTTAAAGAGAGAACAGGCTGCAATTCACACACTCCGCCACTATGAGGAGCTCTGGCAACTGCTTACAGACCACAGCAGCAGGCTCAGAATCTCTCTCTCTGCAAACATTATACACAAAACATTCTTTTTATATTCTTGCACAAAATAAAAAAATATTTCTTTAAAAAAAAAAAAAAAAGCTTTGCAAGATTAATTGCTCGAGCAGATCTTTTATAATACAATGAAACTTGAATTTAAAAACATCTGAGATTGTTAAATCATTCGACCTCTGTTTGGATTTTATAAGCCTATTTTTTTTTTCTTATAAATAAAATAAATGTTGCAATAATCTGCAGTGTTGGATCGATTATATCTTCTGCATAGTGTAAAACTCAAACTGGAAGCAGATTTAGTTTCCCCTTGAAGTTTTTTGATTTCTTAGTCTTCAGATGTTTCAATCTTAAATGTGATGATTCTTTTTTTATTTATTTATAAGATATTTATGCTTTAGATCTAACAAAAACAAACCAAAAAAACTGCTTTTGATTTATAAAAACGTATTTCCCCCTCCAAATACTACTGAAAGATAAGAGGTTTCTTTCCTATATTCTAAATCTATTTAGAAAATGCAGTAAATATCAACTCCACGCTTTCTGAGATTTGAAAATGCTTTCATTCTGAGGTCATCCTATAGGTGGTCAGATAGGCTTTTATTACCTTCATTCATTTGGTTAAAAAAAAAAAAAATACACACGCACCACCAAGTGGCACAGAGAAGTGATAACAAACAGGACAAAAAAAAAATAAAACTTTATACTAGTGGTGAAGACAGGATAAGGAAGAGGCGACTGGAGATGTCACTTTATTGACATAAAAATTGTCCTCTCATGTGGACCAAATCTTTGTGATGTTTTTATACCAATCTACTGACATATATTCTATGTACTAAGTCACTATCTGCTAAAAAAAGACAAAAAACCCTACAAACTAGTTTATAAAGGATGAGAGCATGTAATAAAAAAAAAAATATATATATAGAATATATTGGATTTGATTATTATTATTATTTTTTTTTTTTTAACAGATGCCCCAATTTGCCTTTGGAGCCCTAAATCATGATAGATACCTTAACTGTGTTTATAGTTTAATCAGAATTCTAATTCTTGAGACTCAGTAAATTAGTGATGGACATGAATTTAGAATATCCATACTTTATATGTGAATACACTGTATCCATGGTTTATTTTCTCCCAATGACAAAAGCTTTCAGTCCCTGTGTATTTCATTAGAACAGAGTGTATAATAGATGTTAAGTTGTATGTTCTGAATAAAAGTCACTGATCAACTCAATAGCTTTGAATAAACTTTTCATGTTTATTAAGATTATAAATTTAAACAAATAATTTGAACAGTTTACCCGGTGACAGACAGTTCAATATACACAATACATGAATGAATCAAAATAATATATTAAAAAATAAAAAAGAAAATAACGTTTGGCAATGTATTTAATACACATAGTGCTTGTACTGAAGATATTGGCATGGTAGGATTTCCCAAAACCACCTTTTTACAACAAAAGGTTTTAATGCCAAATTAAAAAAATAAAATAAAAAACACATGGACAGATTTATCACAAGACCAAACAATGCTGGTTTCATGAAGTCAGTTGAAGGCTGAAAGTAGAACAGATGAACTTTAAAAAAAATATATAAAATTATTAACCAAGACATTAAACATAGCTTTAAAAAGTAGTGTTTTCACAACTCATGTGAGACCCCAGTAAGTGGAAATAGCCAGGTAAGTGTTGGTTTGAGGGGCTGGCTTCATGTGGTCTATATGGTTTTAAAATTGTCCCAGGACACTACAGTCTAATAATGGAACAAGTGGCATTAGAGAACCCCCTCCCGCCCCCCAAAAAGCAAGACCCCTTTTATATGCAACAGCATTAAAACCATCTGACATTACTGTAAGATAATTCACAACACAGATCTCAAATAAAATAAAAAAAATTAAAGTTAAAATGTTATCATTTCTGCCTTCATCTTGCAATCCCTTCATTCACACAAGAGAAGGACAAAGGCCGATGAGAGGGTCGATAGAAAGAGAGAGAGAGAAAAAAAAGAAGTATTGAGCCCTCTATATATTCTCCATAAAACATATTCTTGTTACCTCATGGCCATGGTATGCCTGAAATACAGCTATTTGGAAGGTTCAAAAACATGAGCCACATGTAGTTACTAAAAACATGTAAAATTATTCCATGTGTACTGAGGGTTAACCCATTCATTGCTAGAGACCAAACATGTAGCTAATGGGTTAAGCCTCACACTTCCTGGACACCCCCTTCTTTTAAAAGAAAAAGGTGCATTAGTTAGCTGTTCCAATGCAGCAAGTCACCCCAGAATTTTTTATTTATTTTTTTTAAAATCTCTTTACCTACCCCTCTCATCAGCCTTTGCCTTGTGTGAATTTAGATTCACCATTACAAGTTAAAATATATATATAAAAAAAACAAAAAAAAACTCAATTAAATAGGTGCTTTCTTTTCTTTGCAAAAATAAAGTCCAATATCTTAGAATTCTATACAGTTTTTCTTCTTCTTATAAAAAACAGTTTTTTTTCCTTATTATTATTTGCAAGTCCTGAATTCAGTGTCCAAAAGACACCACCCCAAAACTCATCAACCCACCAACATTGTCTCTTCTTCTTCCATCATCCTTCACTCCCCCCCCCCAAGAAGAGGACCCCCACAGCCCCCTACCACCACCACCACCCCCCCATGTCCCCATCTCCAGCAGATGCTAGAAAGCCACTATTTCCATGGTCCAAGCTCCCAGGCTGGACAGGGCTTGCTTCCCACACAAGTGTCCATTCAAGGTCTGCTCAGCCTCTGCCTGCCTGCTCATCAGCCCCGAGAAGCCGGATCCGAAGATGGAGATCAGGTTGGAGATGTTGGAGGAGTCACTGTGCTCTGGGGGTCCCACCTGGGGGTGGTGGTAGAAGAAGTCCTCATACCTCCCCCTCTTACAGGGGGCAAACTGGGCTTCCAAGTCCTCGTCGTCCCCGTGGCCGGCGGTGTAGGTGTAGCAGCCGGCCTGGGGGTACCTGCGTTTGGGGGCCGCCGTGGGCACCGCTGGGGGCAGCGCCGGGCACTGTGCCAGCTGGCAGAGGCACTGGGAAGCGCAGCAGTCCTGGTGAAGGTAGCCGTTCTCCACGGTGGTCACAACGTGCGTGTCCAGGTCCAGCACGGTGGTCTGCTGGCAGTGCGTGCTGCCGGCACCCGGCTCCTCCGAGCAGCAGCTCCGCGGGTAGAAGAGCTCCTTGGCCGGGTGCGGGGTGAGGGCGCAGGGGGGCAGCTCCAGGGGCTCCTCGGCCGGGCAGGCGGGCTCCAGCGGCTCGGGCCCGGTGTGGATGCGGGGCAGCTGGTACATGTCGTCCTCGCCCTCCTCGGGGATCTGCAGCGGGCTGAGCTCGGGGATCTCCTCCGCGCACTCCATGGGCTGCGGGCAGGGCGGCCGCGGGTACAGCTCGGCGTAGCGCTCGCTCAGGTAGAGCTGCCGGGCGTTGCGCAGCACGTAGGACACCAGCAGGTTCTTGTGCAGCTTGATCCCCCCGCGCTGGGTGCGGGAGCTGTGGATCTTCCTCAGGGACAGGCTGATTAGACTCTGCGCGTCCACAGGGCACTCCATGCTAGTTTGGCCCCCAGCAGCCACCGTCGCTCATTCACCGGCAGAGCGCTCGGACTCGGGCTCAGTCAGTCAGTGTGTGAGAGTGAGAGAGTGCCTTGTCCGGCTCGGCTGTCCCAGCGATCACCGGCCTCCGCCGCTGCCACCTCCCCCTCACTGCACTGACTCACACACTGCTTGTGGCTGCGTGCACGCTACCTCAGCTATATATACCGCGGGCTCGGCGCCGCCCACCCGAGGCTCGGCCAATGGGCGGCGCGGGTTGGCTTTGAGTGACGGCGCTCAACCGCCTCTCTCAGGGCGCTGCGGCCAATAGGAAAGTGGCGGTTCCTTTGTGCTATTCAAATGCCAGAGCTGTCCTGGCTGCCGGGAATGAGCTGGGATTCCAGCAAGCACACAACATGGATGGGATGGGGGGAGCACAAACAGGGCGACACAGGGGATGGGATGGGGGAAGCACAAACAAGGGGACACAGGGGATGGGATGGGGGGAGCACAAACAGGGGGACACGGGGCAAGGAGAGGGGGGAGACACAGGGCAAGGAGGGGGGGAGCACAAACAGGGGACACAGGGCAAGGAGGGGGAGACACAGGCAAGGAGGGGGGAGACACAGGCAAGGAGGGGGGGAGCACAAACAGGGACACAGGGCAAGGAGGGGGGGAGACACAGGGCAAGGAGAGGGGGGGAGCACAAACAGGGGACACACAGGGCAAGGAGGGGGAGGGCAAGAGAGGGGGAGAGACACGAGAGGGGGGGAGAGACACAGGCAAGGAGAGGGAGGGGAGAGACACAGGGCAAGGAGAGGGAGGGGAGACACAGGGCAAGGAGAGGGGGGGGAGAGACACAGGGCAAAGGAGAGGGTGGAGAGACACAGGGCAAGGAGAGGGGGGAGAGACACAGGGCAAGGAGGGAGGGGGAGAGACACAGGGCAAGGAGAGGGGGGGAGCACAAACAGGGGACACAGGGCAAGGAGGGGAGACACAGGGCAAGGAGAGGGGGAGAGACACAGGCAAGGAGAGGGGGAGAGACACAGGGCAAGGAGAGGGGGGAGAGACACAGGGCAAGGAGAGGGGGGAGAGACACAGGCAAGGAGAGGGGGAGCACAAACAGGGGACACAGGGCAAGGAGAGGGGGGGGAGCAAACAGGGGGATACAGGCAAGGAGAGACACAGGGCAAGGAGAGGGGGAGACACAGGCAATTAGAGGGAGGGGGAGAGACACAGGGCAAGGAGAGGGGAGCACAAACAGGGGACACAGGGCAAGGAGAGGGGAGCATAAACAGGGGATACAGGGCAAGGAGAGACACAGGCAAGGAGAGGGAGGGGAGCAGGGAGGGGCACAGGCAAGAGAGGGGGGGGAGAGACACAGGGCAAGGAGAGGGGGGAGCACAAACAAGGGGACACAGGGAAAAGAGAGAATGGGGGGGGTGACAGAATAGAGTCACACAAACATTACCAATATTATTTATTAATATCACATTAGTCATTTTTATTTGTATTTATTTATATTTATAAAAAAAATAAATTTTTTTTACATAAATCAAATATTTCCCTAAAGAAGGGGAGATAATTACAGATATATTGAAGAATAAATTTAGTAATGCATATTTGACTAACTTGATATCACTAAAACATAGGAAGAATTAAACACAATTCTAAATAAAAACAAATAACCTGTATAAATAATAGAGCTATATATTTTAATTATGCATACTATTTCATATCTTTAATTTTATATCATACTTTGTGTAATTTGCCAGTAAAATAAAAGCTACTTAGTTATGTGTTCTATAGTATACCTACCATAATACATTTTAAGGACTATAGAATATAAATAAAATTAAAAAATCTGTACATATGTATGCTACATTTGCTCTGTCTCTCTCGAAAGTATTATAACTACGACACAATGCATTTAGTTTTACATAAGTCACTTATAAAGCAAAATAAAACAATTTAGTTACATGTATAGTAACTCGTTCAGTGGCTGAGTGTGGGATTTAAATTTTTTTTTAATATGCAGTAAATGTAAAATTAGGTTTTCCCGCATCAAACCCCCTTGTACTTTGTTAATAAAACCATACACACTTGAACATTTAGGGCACAAGATTTCCTATACAGAAGAGATACCTGATGTTATTGTGCCAAATTAGTTAAAAATAATACCATGACAAATTAGTATAAAAACCTATAAAGATTTTGGATTTTAGGATGAAATGCATACACCCACAATAGAAGATTCAATGAAGAGTTGCTAGAATCATGTAAAGTTAATATATAGTGAAACATTTTTAATATATGTAGCCTGGAGGAAGGAAGAGTTGAAGAGGTAGGATGTGACATGATTGAAGCTTTTAAAATATGTCAAGGCGTAAAGGATTTGTCCATTTAAAATGGACAATTAGAACAAGGAAATTAATCTTATTTTGAAGGGAAGGATAGTAATGAGTAAAATCAGGAAGTACCATTTAAATAAAGAGTTGGAGATACATGGTGCAGCCTTCCCGCAGAGGGGGTAGTGAGTAATACTAAGTGGAAAGGGTATAAATACATATTTCTGTGCAAAATGGGTAGCAAATCAATGGGACATTCTAAGCACCATAACCACACCACGTTGTGTGGAGATTACTGTGCGAGTGGGGTGTTGCTGCCGTTCCCCAGTTATGAGTTAAACTTTTCGATTGGTTTGGCCAAAGCTGGGGTCCCTTAGGCACCAATGCCCAAGCACTATGTTTGCCTATTCCTAACACAGAAGTTCCACTTCCACATTAGCAATATCAGTTTTATCTATATTTTGTCATCATCGATTCGTTGACTACATCAAGTGGCACAGTACCTGTAGACCGCACTGCAGCTCAACAGCAATGGCTTGAAATGGTTATGGTGCTTACCAGCCGCAGCTGGTGAAGCTTAAAGATGGTGGGACTCTGCCCACTTAACCCAGCAAAAGGTTATGCCCTGTTCAAAACCAGGTGCATCTCCAGTTATCAATAAAGGGCAGAATAAAATAAAGGGGAAACTGCAGATAGAATTATGAGAGACTTATTCTTTCCTAACACTGATCAGTAGGTCTTGACGTAAATAGATTTTATTTTATTTCAGCAACAGAAACTTGGGGGGCACCACCCCACCTGCCTCCACTGCTTAGATAGCACCCTTCGGAAGCAAGTCTGTTTATTTGAAGAATTACAGATGGTCCAATAGACTTGTTTGTCGATATTACCCAGGATTCTGTGTTTAATTTATCTAATTATAGAACAACTTTTTTTTTGGCATATTGGATGCAGTCACACTACAAATTCTATACATACATGAACCGCTAAATGCACATAGATTGTTGAAACACAAGGAAAGGGAGGTTAAAACAAATTATATTTCTAAAATCATTTTATCACAGTATCCCCTTTAGTTCTGAGCACGTTTCGATTTTTAATACTAAGCACAAATCAAAATACTAATTTGTAAAAAAAAAAAAAAAGAAAATTGAAAAATTAAATTTATGTCTCAATCTTTTATAAAGAAAAAACAAAAAAAAAAAAACAACTTGCAACTTTAATTAGAATATTTCAGAGAGCAGATCTAAGGTTACAGTTTTGTAATAGGTGGACAGATTCACCTTACAGTGACCTGGGGAGGTGAAACGTTGTGTCTGGGAAAAAAACTGTCAAATATTCTAAACAATGGCTGTCAGGGGGTGGGATACTGAATGAAGTCTGTCTCCAGGCTATATTTATATGGCTGCTCCAGTGATTGATATTTTTGGGTGTGAGCATTTCCAGAGATGCTCAGCATCATGGGACATGTAGTTCACACCTTTCCAGGGTGCCAATGTTTGCCATTTTTATATACAATAATAACTTATCCTACTTAATATCTACTGCATCTGTCTAAACCACGTACATGCATATAATAATTAATATAGAACACCTACATTATAAAGGGGCACTCCTAACATAAGAACTATAACTCACTGAAGTAGTATGTTGCCAAGAGTCTGAGTCAGTCCTCTGTTTTTGTCAAACTCCAATCAACACATTAATTCTGTCCAACCTGGACAGCAGTAATTGACAGAGGGTATTTGGGATGGGGTAGCCATAGGAATTGTTGGGGGTGGGGGGCTCAGTGGGCTGAAAACCCTGATTTGGAGCTCTTTAGCCCCAAATCTCTACAGTTTGTGCTTTTACAAAAGGATAATTTTTATTTTTACATCTGGCAGGAGCTTCTCAAAGCAGTTAATATAAAATGATAAATCAATACTATTGTCAATACTGCCTGCCTCCATTGCCATTTCTTACACTATTGTACAGCGCTACGGAATTTGCTGGTGCTATATAAATAATAGTATAGTGACTCTGCCATGCACCAACACCCTCCACCAGGGGAGGAAGTCGTACCCCTCATGTTTCTGTCAGGGGGTATTGGAGAACAGAACTGTGCCGCACACCCTTATTTTAGGTAAGATGACAGGATTGTATTGAATACCTGACTTCGTAGCACATTTTGAAGCTTTACAATATTATTCGTAGCGCTTTACAATATTATGAGAGGGGGGATTTAACTTTACAAGAAAACTTACAGGAACAATAGGTTGAAGAGGACCCTTCTCAAACGAGCTTACAGTCTTTAGGAGGTGGGGTATAAGACACGTTCATAATTAGAGAGGAGGGGACATAGAGCTTTAAGATACGAATTTACGGCATGTCCCCAACTCCCTGCTAGTGTAATGGTCATCAAGTTTGGGCTCCAGCCCCAGGTTTTTGTGGAACCCAGCAAAGCCTCTGGTGTTAGCATAGATTTCTCAAACCATCCCAAATGCTCCAAAATATTTTGAAAAGATTTGACGAGGACCCATACTTTACCCTGAGTCTGCCTGCCTCCATTGCCATTTCTTACACTACTTTCCAGGTGTATGGAACAGATATTTATATCTTTGCTCTGCGTATCAGCAAGAATCTGGTTTTGTCAAATAGTTTTGAGGGGATTTGATAAATATGCGAGGGAGGTTTCAGAGACTCTTTGCACCAAAACCACTACACTGAGCCATAGTGGTTATAGTACTTGGAGTAGAGTTAGAGTTCTATTTTAAAACCGTACAGGGAGGTGCAGGGGATGAAGATCACACCAGGTGACACCTTTAGAAGGGGTGACACCCTGTGTGGTTCCTTAGCCCCATAGGCAGGTTGGAGCTCGGAATTGCCAGTTCTGCGCTGCCCTCCCTGCCCAGTCTGCTCCTTGAGCTTTGGCTATTGAGACTCATGGAGGAAACTGGGCTG